TCCAAGATCACTGAACACTACAATGCGTATGAACAACTGGGGAGGGAATGTGTAGTCTTATTTCTGACCATAATGGGTATTTCAAGCCTGTGCTAAAGTGTGCGAAGATATTTCGCATCCCATGTGTCATACCCAATAGTGCAGCTCTTTTCTTCCTGGGCGTCTTTTCCTGGCCTCAGCCTGTCTGGAGGGCACCCCCAGAGATAGGAGTACTGAAATAGGCACCTACTGTGGCGGGCGGGGCAAAGGAGTGTCTCCTCTCTTGCAAATGACACCCTTTGCCCAACAAAAGATGCTGCCTCCTGGGATGCTGTGAGAGCCAGGCTGGCCGGAAAGACTGGTCTGCTTTCCTCCCCTTCTGCCTCATCCAGTCCAGTGCCCTAGGCAAGCCCACATGAAGGTAACTGGCATTCATCATGATTCATTCGCTGTAGGGCTACTCTTATCTATGTGGGGGAAACCACCTCTGATAACCAAATGGAACACAGTAAGGATTTTAGTGACAGCCCTTGTTTCATTTTGCTTTGTTAAAGGGCTTTGTTGCTAAGCTGACCCCACTTTTTCCCTCATAAAAACTCCTTTTGAGGTCCTATTTCTGGCTGTGAAAGTAGGGAAAGGTTTCTGCAAGAGGATGATGGTGGTGCTTATTCTTCTTTTGAAATCCTGCTTGTTTATTTTATGTTTGGGACTGTTGGCAACAGCTTTTTGCATGTTTTTTTATTCTGTAAATTAAATGGAATGGTACCTTTCAGTCTGATTGTCTCAGCTGCCTGAAGAGGTATTGCAAAACCTTCCAGCTCATTCAGATGGTAACAGTCAGATAGTAATAGGAAACGCATTCCTGTGAGTTTCCATTGAAACTTTCTCTACACCCACCCCTACAGATTCCCCTTCCTTTATGTTACTATTCTGCTCAACTGTTGTGCAATTGCTGTTTTAGAAAGATTTGCAACATTCTTTGCATTAGTCACACTTACTGATATAAAGCACATTGTAGGTTTTCATTACTATTTTTGTCACTGCAAATCTGCAAAGCTAATATAGTATTGCTTTACAACAAAAGAGGAGTAATTATAATATAATATAATTCTCTATTTAAAATATTATTGTATGACCACAACTTCAGAAAAGAAAGATTATCAAAGAATACACATATGACATGCTAAAAAACTTAAGCAGAGTGCAACCCTCTAGATGTTGTTGGATGTTAGATGTTCCCCTCAGCTCTAGCCTGCATGGCTGGTGTTGTGAGCTACAGGGAGTTTATTTAAGTCTAGATGTTGCAGTCCACCAACATCTGGAAGCCCACACATTTCCTTTTCTTGATGCAGAAGAAAACCACACAAAACCTCAACCAAAATATACAGTACTGCAATGACTTTCACAGTTGAAGGTACAGCTGTTGGAGTTTCACTGCTGTTTTGACCAATTTGGAAGTTGCAAACACACCTTCTTTCTCATCAAAACTTGAATACAGGATTGATTATACCTCACTTCTAGAATTTTTTTCTGTATAGCCTAAAGGAAAGTGGAATAAAGGAAGAGCCAAACATGCATCCACTGAAAACATGAATGCACTCTCTGTTCCCACAATGTAGCAATAAAAAAAAGGATTCTGTGTTTCAGGATCTCCATGCTCAGTTAACACTGAAATATAAATTTAGCCTTGGAGTCTCATGTCCTCATAAAACTTAAAGGAATGGATTACTGCAAGGTGTGTTGATTTCCTGTAACTTAGATTCTAAGATAAACTGAAGAACATAAAAGCATCCAAGTTGAACCAATCCAGCTTTCTGTTCCTATACTGGCCAACTAGCTGCCTATAGCAAATTCACAAGTAGGATGTGAACACAAGAGCACGTAAAGAAGTTCACAGGAGCAAAGCTTCCTCTTCCCCTCAGCGCTATCCCATTGTCCAGAAACCTTCTTTTGGCTTTTTGGGTACATAGGTGGCTCCAGGGGGCATTCAGAGATGGTAAAAATGTCCACCTGTGAACTCTGTTTAACTGCTTGCCAAACAGTACAGCTAAGATACAAAGATACATTCTACTGATTGACAGTGAACTGGCCACTCCTAATTCTCTCCAGTTCAACCAAGGAGCATTCCATGCTAAGCCCAGCCCAGCATTCACACACAGCCGCCTTGGGCAATGCCAGGCCCCTGTTGTTTATTTGGCCCAGCCAACGCCGCTGTTGGTGTCATGGCCGGGCTGCCCATGGTGGCAGGTGGCCAGGCTGCACCACTCACAGAAGCACCAACTGGAGCCTTTCAAATGGACTCACCAACGCCACCATCTCCATTTCCCACTGAGACGAATTAAAATGGCAGTGCTGGAGAATCTGGTTCCATTTTGCCCGGGACAAAAGCTGGTCCAACATCTCACCAACCAAAGCGATGGACCAGTAAATCGGTGGGAATGTTTGATTCCTTTTGCTTGAACATTAGCAGCACTATACGGGTCCTCCTACCTCAAGTGGCTCTTTCTGTTCTCTTTAGCGTAATGAATAATGATGCATGCACCAAACCGTGGCCAGTTAAGATTGGCTTTAAAGCTGCTGGCAAAGATTATTTCCCAGGGGCCTTGCTGAATGCTTTACTAAGATGTTGTGTTTTATCAGCGGACATCAGAAACCAAGTAGGAGTATTTACCCAGGCACAGTTCAGGATCAACTTCTGTGCCATTTTCTATTCTTTACAGCTGCTTTGTGTCTGTGGTTTGGCAGTGATGGCAATATTGCAGTTCACAACTGACACTCCGTTCCGGGCAAATGCAGTCCATGTGCTTCCCCCAGAGGAAGGAAACAGAATAAAACGCTTAGGAGAAAGCAGCATGCAGTTTGCTGTTGTGGCACTACTGTGCTACTAGCTGTAGTAGTACAGTAGAAAAAATTATAGTCAGGCTAGCAGTTCGATAGAAAAAATTACAGTTTATTTTTGAAATGCTAGTACCAACCAGCTCTTCTCCAGGCATGCCTGCATTTGCCTGAACAAAGTGCTGTTGAACCTGCATCCTAACCATGGGAACAGATCAGCTGAGGGCAAAATTCAGGCCATCTTCCTCTGGGGAGAACTCCCCGAACTCTTTTCATTTGGGTAGTAAAGGGTACAAGAAGGGGAATACAAGGAACCAGGTTGATATTAAGATGCCATATCCCTTTCTGTCCATTTGAAACTACATCATACTATGTGGCATCGTAAGGTCAGACTGGTTTCGTAATTCCCCTACCTGTTCTTCCATCACCTGTGGCTTTTGTCTTGCAACCTGTACCTTAAGTGATGGAATGCGTGTCGACCTGCTCAGTTGACTTCATGCACTGTTGGGCTCCTGTCTTAGTTCCTTGTGGTGGACGAAGTGGGCTTTTCATGCATCCCAATTCAACCTTTCACAGCCTAGGGCCACAGTGCATGTATGGGAGAAGGCAGTCCAAGCACCCTGAGATAACTGTCTGAATTACTCTTTTGGGATCACTGCTGAAGCGATCATGGATAGGACTTCCTCAATGGTGGCATATTCTTCCCAGGCAAAGGCCTGCTTTTTTCCTGGGCTTTTAAAACCAATTAAGCCTCTTTGGAGTATCAGCACCACCACCACCTGTTTTTTATTCCTTTTTATGTGGCACGTTATTGTATTTATTTTCTTGTACGGTGCTTTGGAGCACTTGCTGTTAAACATTTGACAAGGGCTGTCACAAAGAGGAAGGAAAAGAGCTCTTCTCCCTCTTTCCTGAGTGCAGGACACAGAACAATGAACAGCACACCAGACACACCAGGAAAAACTTCCTCACTGTCAGAGCCATTTGACAGTGGAACCAGTTGCCAAGGGAGGTGGTGGGCTAGAAACACTAGAGACATTCAAGGTGAAACTGGACAGTCACCTGAGTGGGATGGTGTGAATCAGTATCCTGAACCAGCAGGGGGTTGGACCCAATGATGCTCTGGCCCCTTCCAACCCTACTTTTCTATGAATCTATGAATCCAGCTTATAATGTAGCTAAGAAATGAAGACTCTTTTCCTCATGCTGCCACCTTAGTGCTGGGCACATTGATACTGTTCTGGCCTCTATGAAGCGCAGCAAACCAAGGTCTTCCCACTGGAAGCATGTCTAGAGTTGGGCATAGCCACTGCTCCCCATGGAAAGGAAAGGCATGTAACGGAAGGCTACTGATGTTTAAACGTATCTGCAATCCCCTGCACCTCAAACCCAGAAAAGCCTGGTGGAAAATGCACCAAATTAACCCCCCCCCCACACACACACACACACTACTATACTACCCTGTCTGGGAAAGGTGAACAAGAACCTTCCTCGGGTGCTGGTGACCGGCAGGTGGATGGATGGTTTGGCTGGTAGGCCATTGGGCGGCTGAGGGTGTTGGCTGGTGAGCAGGGAAGCGAGCAGGTTGGCGTGGAGCAGGTCTTGGCTGGTGAGCAAGGAGCCTTGGCTAGCAAACGAGGGCTTTGGCAGGAAGGTGGAGCAGAAGCAGCAGGGCCCCCTCAGCAACACCAGGGCCACCAAAATGGGCTGCCAGTCCTCGTGGTGCTTGCCCAACATACTAAAGGGGGTGGTCATGGTAACACCCACTGCTCAGCACTGGAGCGGGGGAGGGGGTGCTTTTCCTTTGTGTGATTCCAGGCTGAGAACTGGAGGCACTAAAAGTAAACCTTGCCTTATTATCTATCACCTGTGTTCATTCTCTTGCACTGTAAGGATGCTCAGGCTTGGAGCAACAGACAAGTTCATGGGTCAACAAAATGGCCTTGCTTTGCAGTAAAGAAATGCTTGGTGCAGCTTTTGATGTACAAAGTACATCTTTTGGGGAGAAAACTTCTACACAAACTGCAAAGCTGTGCCTTTTATTATTTTTTAAGAGCTTAAAAAAGCCTTGAGCTAGCTTAGGTGAAATTCAAGAATGCCAGCAAGGCTAATCTCTTTGATTGAAGGATAGGCCCTGTGTCCTTACCAGACCCGTCTTTCTCGTTTGTTCTCCCTTCAAACCACAGGTGTCCCTGGTTCCATGCCAAACGCTTCATGGGAAGGTGATCTGAGAGCTGTGAAGTGGAGCTCTGATGAAAAGAACCACGGTGGATGCCATGGTAAAATGATGGCTTATTTTCTAGCACTGAAAGACCTTTTCCCATGGAATGTCTCATGGTGGCCCTCTCTTCACTTTCTTAGAGCTTCAATGGTCCTCAGGTCCAGACCATGGTCCTTGCCCCACTTCCGTTCCTGGCAGGCCACACTCCGGAATGGGATCACCCGAGTCTCAGTGATCAACTTTCTAGTTTAAAATGTGAAGTGGACACTAAACAGTTCCTGCTTTGCATGTTCGAGCAGGAATAGTTTTTTGTCCTTGGCTCCTTGTTTCTTCGCATGCAAGAAAACCCATCTCCTTGGCTTTTAAAGTGGGATTGTGAGCTTTGCCACATCGCATAGCGATCACTTCTGCCTCAAAGATCTTCCTATTTACTGGGAGGGGGAAAATGCTTCCATTGGTGGTGGATTGAGACTAGTAGGAATGCCCCTCTAACATTTTTAGCTGAGTTCTAGCTAAATACCTGGAAATTATAGTATACAAGCACCTGTATTTCAGTTTATGTCATCATGTCACCTGGAGAATTTGTCAGTTTGATGGACTTGCCTTTTAAAAGAAAAAACAATGAAACATAATGGGGAAAAGTCTACAAAAGGGTGCCATCCTCTATTCCTGTGTTCCCCAGCCAGGTGCTCTCCAGATGTTCTGAACAGCAATGATTCCCAACTGGCATGGCCAAATGAACTACTTAAGTTGCAAGCCAACACATCTGGAAAAAGCTAGGTTGTCCTATACATTCACTTGGGAGCAAGTCTCACTGAAATAGGAATGACTTCTTTTGGTGTTAGGACTGGGCTGCAAATGTCTTGGTACATGTATGTATGTATGTATGTATGTATGTATGTATGTATGTATTTTGCCTATAAAATGATCTTGCTATTTTATTCCTCAGGTCATTATGTTAGGGACATCTGTATCTATGGAACTGGTGACCTGAAGTGGCTACTAAACTCCAAAAGCCTATTTGCTAACAAATTTGAGCTCGGAACATACCCACCTACCATGGAGTGCCTGGAACTGACACTTCGGGAAAGGGCATTGAACCAGAGTGAGGTGCCAGTGGAACCAAACTGGTACTTTCAGTAAAATACCTAAATGATGGACAGAAATGATAATGCAGAGCCAGCTTTCTGGAAGAACCATGTTGCCTTGAAGTTATGCTTCTTTAAAGATGTTCAATACGGGTATTTTTCCTAATATCTTGAATAACTTTTGCACTATGGCTGAAATAAGATTTCAGGGCAATGTTAAATTTTCTTAACATTTTAAAAATGTGCATCCCATACTGGAACTGCATTATCTATCCTCCCCAAGTGCTCAAGTATATTATTTGTTAATACTTTGAGAACCATTCTGATTAACTTGGGGACCATGATTTCCGATTGCTAGCTGGTGAGTTAGAGTTTGAACTTTGCTAGGGTCAGGCCTTGCCAAGTGACCATATAGGTGAGAAGAATAAAAATGATACGTCTCTTTGGAAGATCGTTTGATGGGACTTCATCGTCAAACTCCAGAGTCCTATCACATCACTCAAGCCTTCAGAAATATGATTCAAGGACTGGCAGGATTCTTCCCTTGATCTACAATGGAAGGAGAAAAGGACCCATAAACTACTGGAAAATTGTCTCCCATCTTTAACAGTGGGAATCTCATGTGTGTGACAAGTTAGTGGACGAGTGCCAGGGTAGGTATGTGGGACAGCAAAATAGAAAACTTAGAAGAATTATTGCACAGTTGTCTGTTTACATTTGGCCATGTTTAGTTTGGCTGCATAATAACTCCAGAAATGATGAAGGAAAGCGAAATGCACAGGAACAAGTCAATTGTTGGAGGAGGGATCCATTTTTGAGTTAAAATGTTGCACCAGTTTTGACACTGATAGGGCCAGCTTTCCCTCGCCCAGTGCCCTCCAGATTAGTTGGATGTGTGTGTTGTCCCATTCATCCCCAGGTGCCATGGCCCTTGATGGGGAATTGTAACCCTGCACATCTGGAGGAGACCCGACTGGGAAAGGCTGGATTCTTGCATGTTACCTGTTTGGTTAAGGGGGAACCCACTGCTCTGGGTTCAGTAGGAACTCAGAGACCAAATGTCCATTTCATACAGTTTGGAGAGAAAACTGAAATGGTGTCACCAGTGTATGCTTGAAGTCCTGGTCTAAATAAATAAATAAATAAAACTCAGAATTTTTTTCTCTCTCCAAACTTTACAGTTGTGAGACGATATGTTTTATTGTCGTTGAGGCTGGAATTTTACGGAGAAATATTTTGCCAATGCAAAATTTCCACCAGCTTTTCATTTGGTATTCACTGTGAGCATGAAGATGGTGTATAGAATATGGGGCCTAAATGGTGTTTTAATAAAATAGCCACACTTACAGCAACCCTCCAATTCAAGATACATCTCCAGTTAGCCTTTTGCTGGTAAAAATGTTGCCAGTATCTCAGTTATGGTCTGTTTTTCTATTATCAAAATAACTGAAATTAAGTCTTCTCACAATCAGACACATTTAATTTTATTTTTTCAATTCATAAATGCAATCGTTTGTTGTTAAATTAATCAAATAAAAAGAACACTCACCAAACAGGCTTTAAGAAAATTCCTTTACTACTGCTTTACGTAAAGATTTCCAGCTTTTCAGCAAGGCATACAACGTTGCTTCTAACACCAACAAGGTTGCAATGAGGAGCAAGTGATAACATTTATCTGTTTGCAATGAGCAACATCACTGGCTCTTCTCTCCTGATCAGAAAGAGTGTCCAAATCCAAAGGTCAAGTCGCTGCTTTTCCCCCATCACTTGGGAATCTTGTTGCACAGATTGGCACTGAAAATCTGGTAGTGTTGTTTTAAGAATGCATCAAGAGACAAGATATTGGCTACATGTATATCAGTAAGCATGCTGCTTCTTACAAAATGGTGAGTGTGTGGCTGCCAGGAAATACTGACTCTGAACTAAGACTTAAAAATAACCATTTTTATTATTTAAAAAATATTTTAATCATTATTTAAAAATACAGCCTACAGTCACATACCCTGTACCAACTTCAGTATGCACATAGAAGCAATTAACATGAGAAATATATTAAAGACCTGAATGAAAATAAAATCTCCAAAATTATACAGAGACTGGTGGGCCAAAATTAAAAGGCCTAACAAAACAAGTTTCTAGTCCCTAAGAAAACTTAGTAAATAGGTTGGGCCATTGCAAAAGGGGGCAGGACACCTGAACCTTAATATCTGCACATAAGAGGGAATGTCAGAACCCTGATGACTGAGAATGATGGGAGTTGCACTCCAACAAACCTGGTGGTCTTACTGATTTCTCTCTTCCTTTGGGACAGTGTGTGTGTTTAATAAATTTCTAACCCGCCCCATTAGCCATATGGCTCTCTGAGTGGATTACAGCAACAAAATACAAAATAGTATACAAAATAGAATAAAATACAGATTAACATACAATATAAAACAACAGTTAGAATAAAAAAAGCATTAAAATTATCTGGACCCATTTCAGTCTGGCTTCTGACCCGGGTACGGTACTGAATCTGCCTTGGTCGCCCTGTGCAGGGAGAGAGACAGGGGGAGTGCATCTCTGGTGGTTCTCCTGGGCCTCTCAGCAGCTTTTGATACCATCAACCATGGTATCCTTCTGGATAGGCTGGCGGGGTTGGGAGTTGGAGGCACCGCTTTGCAGTGGTTCCACTCCTATCTCAATGGCCGATTCCAGAAGGTGGTGCTGGGGGACTATGGCTCTGTGCCATGGCAGTTATGCCATGGAGTTTCACAGGGGTCCATTTTGCCCCCTTGTTATTTTACATCTACATGAAACCACTGGGAGAGGTCATCAGGAGGTGTGGGCTGCGGAGTCATCAGTACGCTGATGATACCCAGCTCTACCTCTCGTTCTTCACCAATCCAGGGGAGCCAGTGGCTGTACTGAACCGGTGCCTGGCCGAGGTAATGGGCTGGATGAGAGCCAATAAACTGAAGCTCAATCCAAACAAGATGGAGGTCCTGTTGGTGGGTGGTTCGGGCTTCGGGGTGGGGGACTTGGGCCTTGTCCTAAATGGGGTTGCACTCCCTCTGAGGGACAGGGTTCGCAGCTTGGGAGTGCTCCTCGACCCTGAGATGTCGTTAGAAGCTCAGGTGATGGTGGTGGCGAGGAGCGCCTTCAGCTCCGGCTGATCCATCAGCTGCGTCCCTATCTGGAGAACGATTGCCTGGTGACAGTGACCCATGTGTTGGTAACTTCCTGACTAGATTTCTGTAATGCGCTCTATGTGGGGCTACCCTTGAAGACGGTCCGGATACTTCAATTGGTGCAAAATAGAGCTGCCAGGCTGCTTATGGGGACTGGGCGTTGTTCTCATATAACCCCAGTTCTCCTCAGCTTCACTGGCTCCCTATTGAAGTCCAGGCCCAATTCAAGGTTTTGGTTATGACCTATAAAGCCCTTAACGGCTTGGGACCTGGTTATCTAAAGGAACGTCTGTGTCCATATATGCCCGCCCACCCCCTACGATTGGCAGTGGATGCCCTTCTCTGGGAACCCTCTGTGAAGGATATTAGGAGGGTGAGTACCCGGAGGAGGGCCTTTTCTACGGTGGCGCCCCATCTATGGAATGCGCTCCCCAGAGAGGTCCGCCTGGCGCCGTCCTTATTTGCTTTTCGGCGCCAGGTGAAGACCTTTTTATTTAAAAGTTATTTTAACTGTTAATTTATTATTATTGTATTTATAGATTTTAATATACAGCCAAGATGGTACCAGTTTTTAAATTATTGATTGTATTTTTATGTTTATGGATGTTGTGAGTCACCCTGAGGCTTTGTTGCAATGTAATAAATAAATACATACATACATCTTAAGATGCACAACAGTAATAACATGCCCACAGTTAAAATGGTACTTAAAACAACTTAACAAAATATGGTCAAAAAGGTTTTTGCCTGGCACCTAAAAGAAAGTGTCAGGTGGACCTGTCTGGGGAGTTTGTTCCAGAGTCGGGGTGCCACTGCAGAAAAGCCCCTTCTTCGTGTTACCACCCTCCTTATTTCCTGGGGAGGAGCCCCTCAGTTGTAGATCTAAGGTGCCAGGAAGAGGTGCTCCTTTAGATACCTTGGCTCCAAGCTGTTTAGGGCTTTAAACACCAGCGTTAACTTGAATTGGGCCTGGACTCAACTGGGAGCCAGTGAAGATGGTAGAGGACTGGCTGTATATGATTGTATCTACCAGTTCTCATTAATAAGCTGGTTGCCCTATTCTGGATCAATTAAATTTTCCAGGCCATCTTCATGGATCACTGCCTTGTCGTGGCGAAGGGGCTTGCATAGCTCAATGAAGCTATGAGCTATGCCATGCAGGGTCACCCAAGATGGACAGGTCATAGCAGAGAGCTCTGACAAAACGTGGTCCACTGGAGAAGGACATGGCAACCCGCTCCAGTATCTTTGCCATGAAAACCCCATGGACAGTACCAAAAGGCAAAAAGATATGATGCTGGAAGATGAGCCCTCAGGTCGGAAGGTGTCCAATATGCTACTGGGGAAGAGTGGAGGGCTAGTACTAGTAGCGCCAGAAAGAATGAAGCGACTGGGTCAAAGCCGAAAGGACACTCAGTTGCAGATGTATCTGGTGGTGAAAGGAAAGTCCGATGCTGTAAGGATCTATACTCCATAGGAAACTGGAATGTAAGATCCATGAATCAAGGCAAGCTGGATGTGGTCAAACAAGAGATGACAAGATTGAACATTGACATCTTAGGAATCTGTAAACAAAAATGGACAGGAATGGGGGAATTTAATTCAGATGACCATCAGGTATACTACTGTGGGCAAGAATCCCTCAGAAGAAATGGAGTAGCCTTCATAGTCAATAAAAGAGTAGGAAAAGCAGTACTGGGATACAATCTCCAAAAGGACAGAATGATCTCAGTTCGAATCCAAGGCAAACCATTCAACATCACAATAGTCCAAGTCTATGCCCCAACCACTGGTGCTGAAGAGGCTGAAGTTGACCGCTTCTATGAAGGCCTAAAACACCTTCTAGAATTAACACCCAAAAAATGATGTCCTTATCATCATGGGGGATTGGAATGCTAAAGTAGGAAGCCAAAAGATAACCAGAATAACAGGCAGGTTTGGCCTTGGAGTACGAAATGAAGCAGGGCACAGGCTGGTAGCATTTTGTCAAGAGAACACGCTGGTCATAGCAAACACTCTTTTCCAACAACCCAAGAGATGGCTCTACACATGGACATCACCAGACGGTTAACACAGAAATCAGATTGACTATGTGCTCTGCAGTCAAAGATGGAGAAGCTCTGTATAGTCAGTAAAAACTAGACCAGGAGCTGACTGTGGCTCAGATCATGAGCTTCTCATTACAAAATTTAGGCTTAAGTTGAAGAAAGTAAGGAAAAGCATTAGGTCACTCAGGTATGACCTAAATCATATCCCTGATGAATATACAGTAGAGGTGACAAATGGATTTAAGGAATTAGATCTGATAGACAGAGTGCCTGAAGAACTATGAACAGAGGTTCGCAACATTGAGGTAGCAACTAAAACCATCCCAAAGAAAAAGTAATGCAAGAAAGCAAAATGGCTGTCTGAGGAAGCTTTACAAATAGCTGAGGAAAGAAGGGAAGCGAAAGGCAAGGGAGAAAGAGAAAGATACACCCAATTGAATGCAGAATTCCGGAGAACAGCTAGAAGAGATAAGAAAGCCTTCTTAAATGAACAGTGCAAAGAAATAGAAGAAAACAAGAGATATGAAGGGAATGTTTCGTGCAAAGATGGGCATGATAAAGGACCAAAATGGCAGGGACCTAACAGAGGCAGAAGAGATTAAGAAGAGGTGGCAAGATTACACAGAAAAACTATACAAGAAAGAGCTTAACGTCCCTGATAACCATGATGGGGTGGTCACTGACCTTGAGCCAGACATCCTGGAATGTGAAGTCAAATGGGCCTTAGGAAGTCTGAGCAACAACAAAGCTAGTGGAGGTGACAGTATTCCAGCTGAGCTACTCAAAATCCTAAAAGACAATGCAGCAAAAGTGCTACACTCAATATGCCAGCAAATTTGGAAAACTCAACAGTGGCCACAGGATTGGAAAAGGTCAGTTTACATTCCAATCCCAAAGAAGGGCAATGCCAAAGAATGTTCAAACTACCGCACCATTGCACTCATTTCACATGCTAGCAAAGTGATGCTCAAAATCCTACAAGCTAGGCTCCAGCAGTATGTGGACCGAGAACTACCAGAAGTACAGGCAGGATTTTGAAGAGGCAGAGGAACTAGAGATCAAATTGCCAACATACACTGGATCATGGAGAAAGCTAGGGAGTTCCAGAAAAACATCTACTTCTGCTTCATTGACTATGCTAAAGTCTTTGATTGTGTGAATCATAACAAACTGTGGCAAGTTCTTAAAGAGATGGGAGTCCCAGACCATCTTATTTGCCTCTTGAGAAACCTATATGCAGGTCAAGAAGCAACAGTGAGAACTGGACATGGAACCACTGATTGGTTCAAAGTCGAGAAAGGAGTTTGGCAAGGCTGTATACTGTTGCCCTGTTTATTTAACTTATATGCAGACCACATCATGAGGAAGGTGGAGCTAGATGAATCACCAGTTGGAATTAAGATTGCTGGGAGAAATATCAACAACCTCAGATATGCAG